TAATAAATCTTATTATTATTATTATTGTGTGTTGATTCACATCCAATTGTCATCAAGTGCACCTCCAATCGGAATCCAACAAGACCATGTTCAACTCCAATATACCGGCCGCGGCGCTGCTGAGCATCGAGGGCAGCGGCCCGGGCGCCCACACGCCCAAAACGCCAGAGATTCTCAATTCGGTAATCGCGATGACAAATCCCCTGGACAACTTCAACTTCAACGTGTCGAACAACTGCGGCCAGGTGTCCGGCCCCTTTGTCTCCATACGCAACTTGTGCGGCAATGCCAACGGACAGGTGCGTCTCGCTTCCCCACCCCGCCCAACCATAGAAACTCCAGCTAATTCCTCATTCCTCTTGCAGTCGCACTCGCAGGATAGCAGTCATTCCAGTTGCTCGGCCTCGCCGCTCGACTCGCCAGCGGGCGCTGCGACCACGCCCAGTGTGCAACAGGTAAGTGGGCGGGCCGAATACCAATTACAACTAGTTTAGGGCATGGGAAACTCTTTGATTGGATTTGTTTCGCTTTGCTTTTTGATTTAAATTGAACTTCAATTCGAATTCAATTTAAATTTCTTAAAATTTTGACTTTTCCTTGTGGCGTTTCAATTCTCATTCAATCAAGATTTTGCTCTCAATAGTCTCTGTCTATCTCTTCAATAATAGCTGCTGCTCTTTGTATTCAATCAAATTAAGCTTCAATCTGGCCCTTAAATAGGGTTTCTAGCTGCAATTCTTCTCTGTTAATAACGGAATAGCTGCCTCTTCAATCTGACTGCAATTTGACTTTCAATCTTGATAAACTGAATACTTCATCCATTTTCAATTGAATTTTTAATTTTCATATAGATTTTTCTTCACTCAATAAGTGTCCATACCAGAACTTTTCATTTTCAATCAATCAATTCYATTTTCTATCAATTCACTTGAGTCCAAATGATTGATCGTGTCGCAAGACTTGTTCCATTAGTTTTCCGTTTCATACGATATGAAATATTCAACATGCTTTCGATGCATTGCAATTCGCTTTGAGCTCTCTTTCAATTTCCATTTCAATTTCCCAATGCACTTTCAATTTCAATCGACAGACGTGTAGGCACGCTTTGGCCCATTTCCAGCTTCACTGTTCACTTGCAATTTGTCAACAATTGATGCAATTCAATTCGATTTCGCTTTCAATCTGGCGACAATCAACCAGATTGTTCAACATTTGCGTATTGCCCATTCATACGGCGTCCGAATTGCATTTTGTTTGGCGCCCACGCGCCGCACGACACAAAAATCTGCCAAATGCCCACGCACCGGTCCGCCGAACGCCGTCAGTTGCTGCACCGGCTCCGGACATTGGCCGGCATCCGCCCACAAGTACGCCACCGTCACCGCCACCGCCACCGCCACCGCCTTCGCCCCCGCAGCCACTCAATTCGGCTTGAAGGCGGGCCAGTCGATCGGGGCGATGCGAAGCGTCGCGTCGCTTAGTCATTTGGTCGAGCTGACGCTTGGGTCAGGCTGGCTTACGCCGGCAGCTCGTGGGCGTTTGCTGTTGACGCTTCCAATTGCAAAACGCAGCCAGAATTGATTTCACTTTTGTATGCCAGAAATTGAATAAACTATCTATAGCTGCATAGCTGTATAGCTGTATCTGTATCTCTGGCAATGTATCTGTATCTATTGCGGCGACTGTATCGATGCTTGTGTGTGGATGCACAGCATCACTTSACTGACATTGGCCTTAATGAGCCACATTGCTCGCGGGCAGGTGGTGGGGGCGTGGCCGAGCGGGCCGAGCGGGCTGAGCGGACTGAGTTGGCAAGTGCGATTATTGCATATGAATAACATTTGCCACGCGGCAATTAAATGGCATTCGAGCACACACAGCGACAGCTCCCGGGCGCATCCAGTAGATATGCAAATACAATGGCATATCTCTAATTGCCTAGGTGTGCGTGTGTATGTGTGTCGCACTCTCTCTGTGTGTTTGTGTGTGATTTATGATTATTGCTTCAAACGAATTTATAGGCATTGAACTGCCGCCAGCCCCAAGTGCAAAATATTACAAATAAAATTTTAAACACTTTTCAATTTGTTTTCTAACAAATTTCACATAAATTACAAAATGCACAACCAGCACACTCGCACACACACACACACACAAGCTGGAAAAGTTTTTGCTGTTGCCAATCGCAACAATTTTTATTGCACTTTTAGCTGCCGCTGCTTCTTCTTCTTCGTTTTCGCAAATATTTGCACAAATGTTAAAATTGTTGTTGTTGTTTTTTTTTGCACATTTCTCATAAACGCAAAATGCAAAAATAAAAAATATATATAAAAAAATAAATACATAAAATATTGTATATATGTATGGGAGAAAAACGTTATAAAAGTGGCAAATATTGAAGTGTCGAAAAATTGTACATAAGAAATATATAGAGAATATAAAGTCCATAGCACATACGAGAGGCAGCTGCTAATTGAGTGAAGTCGCACCATGGATACTCTAGCAGGAAGGGAATCTGGCCAAGTTCATTTGCGGAACTTGTGGATATTTGCCTAGCTATAGTTTTCTGTTTTAAGATATTCAGATTTGCCATATATTCAAAGTAGTTCAAAGTAGTTCCATTTCAGCATCAGTTTCGATTCATTCTGTGTCAAGTTTCTGTCTGATTTCAGTTTCTGGTTCTCACTTCAACTTCAATTCCAATTCCAGTTCCGGCTCCAGTTCCAGTTCCAGTTCCAGTTCAGCTTCCATTTCTGCTTCATTTAGTTTTTATATACTCGATTCAAGACTTGACTCTCGTATAATTTTCCACTCTGTTTCAAGTTCCAGTTGCAGCTCCAATTTTAGTTCCAGCTCTAGTTCCGATTCAAGTCTCAATTTCAATCCCATTTTTTAAGCTGCTTAAGCTTGTCATAGTCGAATCAGCTTTTTAGTTCTATTTTCACGTACTGGTATACTGGTTCCAGTTCCGATGTGATTCGATTTTGATTCTGATCCCATTTCCCTTTTAGGCTTCTTCATTTCGAATCAAGTTCTAGTTGCTGTTTGTGTTCCAGTTTCCGATTCAATCTCACTACCAGCTCCAGTTCCATTTCGATGCGAATGGCATTTGCACTTCAGTTCAGTTCTGGTTCCAATTTCGATTGCTGTTCTCCTTTATACGGAGAATATTCCGTTCGAGTCTGCTCCAACCTAATTTTTGGCCAACACTTAAAAGGTTATCTCACTTTCTCTCTCCCTCTCTCTCTCTCTCTCTTTTCTTTTAATATATATTTTTTTTTTTTTTTTTTTTGTGAAAAACAAACAAAAAGATTATGAAAGCAGAAGAAGAGGAAAAAGTATGTGGCAAACAAACAAAATGCGGAGCCAAATAAAAGTGCAAATTTGCGAGGCGATTCGTGCGAAATTTGAGTTTGTTGTTTCTTTTCTTCGCGTGTGTTGTTGTTTTTTTTTTTTTTTTTTTTTTTTTTTTTTAATTTTTCTTGAAGTCTTTCACATATTTTGGGCGCTGTTCGGCAAACATCACGCAGCCCGCTTACAGATACAGCTACAGATACAGATACATTTGAGATACAGATACATTTACCAAAAGATACATTTGGTATCAAAATGTCAACGCAGCGCGAAGTGCAGCAAAACGTAGCGCAAAGAAAGGCTTGGGCAAATGCCTATAAAAGGTGAATATATGATATGCTATATGTATATCTCTACCTCCTTCGCCCCTCCCTTCTTATGTTTGTCGCACTCGTTAAACTCCAAACACGATTCGGTCTTGCAAATAATATCTTAATGCCATCGCAACAGCCATTAGCCCACTAAGCGTTACAGTTCGAACCCTGAATTTTAATTTATGCGCCTTGCCTTGAACCATAAATGAAACAACTGGAAACACAAATAATATGTAAGCCATAAGTGGAGCTCGACTCGAGGTGATTCATGGAGCTAGAACTGTGAACAGTGTCACTCCAACTCTGGAATTGTCTTGGGTGCTTGGTAGGCTTTAGATTGAAAGAGATTTTATCTGTCTCAATTTGTTTTCCTCTTTTTACTATCTAGTTATCTATCTCTCTCCCCCTTCTTCATCTTCTTTTTCTTTTGCTTCTTCTACTCTCATTCGTTGCCCATACTTGTGCATATTTTGTTTTCATTTTTCATCTTCATTGCTTCAATTTAATACTCTTCTATCCTTCCCTTCCTTTTCCTAGTCCTCTATTCAGTTACCTGCATTCTTTTCCCCACTTTTTATTTCCGTTGCTTCTCATCCTTCTTTATTTTTTGTTATACTCTTATACTTTCTCGCATGTTCCATTTCTTGCTATTTCTTCCCTATCTTCTATTCTTTTCTATTGAAGAACTTTCTTCAATTCATTCCCTCTGCTTTTCTCTTTCATTACCATTCATTCCCTCTCTTCCTTTCGCCTCTCTTCCAGTGCTTTCTCATTTCCTTTTCTTCTTTACTTATCTTCTTCTTTTTCATTCCTACGCTTCAAATTATCATTATTCACTTTTATTTCTCTGCCTTTCTACCAATCCTTTCTCCAATCCTTAGATTCCATTCTATCGCACTCTGCTCATCCCTTTCCTTTCATCACTCCCATTTTCTTCTCTTCCTTTTCTATTAGTTGTATAGCTCCTCTACACTATTCGAGTAAAAGTTTCCTTGTCTCGTTCTCATCCCAACTACTGAATATGTCGCTGCTTCTCTACCAAATCTGTTTCTTAACACACTCTCAAGTGTTTCTAGACAGTGGTACAGCACTGTGCCCATTAAGATCAGG